CTGATCATCTAGCTCACTTCATACGGTCTCTAGATGTTAAACATGTTATCATCTGATCATCTAGCTCACTTCATACGGTCTCTAGATGTTAAACATGTTATCATCTGATCATCTAGCTCACTTCATACGGTCTCTAGATGTTAAACATGGTATCATCTGATCATCTAGCTCACTTCATACGGTCTCTAGATGTTAAACATGGTATCATCTGATCATCTAGCTCACTTCCTACGGTCTCTAGATGTTAAACATGGTATCATCTGATCATCTAGCTCACTTCATACGGTCTCTAGATGTTAAACATGGTATCATCGTAAAACTTAAGCAACATTCATATTTCACATGTATAATATCTGACATAATTCTAGTGAGTCCATCAGAAACAGAGATAATCGGCTATTCATACATTTTAAAGGCCATGTCTCACAATAATGTGGATAATACCAGTGGGATGTAATCTAGGTCTAATCGATGTAGATCTGGAATATGGTTTCATAGATATGGCCATCATTAATACAATATTTGGAACATTAATTTTTCGATATCTACTTGGCTAATTTTCATTTTCACTGTTTCTCATAAATCAATGTTGATATCAGTTTGCCATTATGCATATGAAGGTTAATTAAACCATCTTTCGATTTCATGTATTGACCATACTACATTATAAAAAATATATTTTATGCATATCAGAAATAAACTTAACTTACTTTAGTACAAGTCTCATTTACACTGAAAGATTGATAGGCAAGATAATATGAAAACAGCACATGCTCATTTACGTTCACTGTTAAAGTTATCAAAAAACGATACCGTATATTTCCTCGAACATAATTTTTTAACATGAAATAACGATCACTCTCTAACTTGTTTTGTTCCTGAAACTCCACATTATATAAACCCAAGTCAAGCTATTCCTTAGAAACATATCATCCACAATAATTTTTCGCTGTATGAACAAACACGTAGTTACAAGTACTGAATGTACAGTGGTTTACCCGTTACTTAGATAAATACGTAATTTTGTGGCTCTATACTGTTGTTAAGATTGGGTGTAATTTTGTGGCTCTATACTGTTGTTAAGATCGAGTGCAATTTTGTGGTTCTATACTGTTGTTAAGATCAAGTGCAATTTTGTGGCTCTATACTGTTGTTAAGATTGAGTGTAATTTTGTGGCTCTATACTGTTGTTAAGATCAAGTGCAATTTTGTGGTTCTATACTGTTGTTAAGATTGAGTGTAATTTTGTGGCTCTATACTGTTGTTACTCGATCTTAACAACAGTATAGAGCCACAAAATTACACTCAATCTTAACAACAGTATAGAGCCACAAAATTACACTCAATCTTATTAGTGGTACTTGCTATTTTTGCTATGTCAAAATCTAATGTGAATTAGTGGTACTTACTATTCTTGCTATATCAAAATCTAATGTAGATTAGTGGTACTTGCTATTTTTGCTGTATCAACATCTAATGAAGATTAGTGGTACTTACCATTCTTGCTATATCAAAATCTAATGTAGATTAGTGGTACTTACTATTTTTGCTATGTCAAAATCTAATGTAGACTAGTGGTACTTACTATTCTTGCTGTAGCAAAATCTAATGTGAATTAGTGGTATTTACTATTCTTGCTATATCAAAATCTAATGTAGATTAGTGGTACTTACTATTTTTGCTATGTCAAAATCTAATGTAGACTAGTGGTGCTTACTATCTTTGCTATGTCAAAATCTAATGTAGACTTACTATTTTTGCTATAGCAAGATCTAATGTAGATTAATGGTACTTACTATTCTTGCTGTAGCAAAATCTAATGTTGGAGACAATGATATTGCTAACACTAAAATTGCAATTAGTGGTACTTACTATTCTTGTTATATCAAAATCTAATGTGGATTAGTGGTACTTGCTATTCTTGCTATATCAAAATCTAATGTAGATTAGTGGTACTTGCTATTTTTGCTGTATCAACATCTAATGAAGATTAGTGGTACTTACCATTCTTGCTATATCAAAATCTAATGTGGATTAGTGGTACTTACTATTTTTGCTATGTCAAAATCTAATGTAGACTAGTGCTACTTACTATTCTTGCTGTAGCAAAATCTAATGTGAATTAGTGGTACTTACTATTCTTGCTATATCAAAATCTAATGTGAATTAGTGGTACTTACTATTCTTGTTATATCAAAATCTAATGTAGATTAGTGGTACTTGCTATTTTTGCTATGTCAAAATCTAATGTAGCACATTAGATTTTGATATAGCAAGAATAGTAAGTACCACTAATCCACATTAAATTTTGATACAGCAAGAATAGTAATTATCACTAATCCACATTAGATTTTGACATAGCAAGAATAGTAAGTACCACTAATCCACATTAGATTTTGATACAGCAAGAATAGTAAGTACCACTAATCCCCATTAGATTTTGACATAGCAAGAATAGTAAGTATGTATGGTATTAACTAAAACACATATAAAAAATAACACAAGTTTTAACATTTAGTTCTCAACAGAAATGTCAATTTTCCAAGATTTGGCATATTTTCCAGACTGTCTAATTCCAAACCTAACCAAAACCTCTGACATTTCAGGTCTGGCCTTTTCTTACGGGAGGGTTTCATAGTGGAGATAAAGGTACGAGAGACAAACTCTTACTTCACTCCGCAAAGCATACTGTCGTTCACTCATCCGAGAAAAGCCTGTAGTAAAAATCAAGCCATTCCTTAAATAAATAGCTCGTTGTGGCTTTGTTCCTTCGTGTCCCATAGCCTCCTGTACCAAAAGAATCATTATATTAAAATAAAATAAAACTTAGTGGGAGATTTGAAAAAAAAAACAAGTGACTTACAACATTATAACGGGAAACGTGTTAAATATAACACAATAACACAAAAGAATATTTTTTGAAAACTTTTTGGCAAGTGTATAATGTTCAATCTTAAAAACACAAAATTTTTAAAAAACAACGATTATTTCATACACAATTCTATAAAAATGAGATTGTTTCCAGTCTCCAAATTACTAAAATACAATAATTTACTGTACAGGATAAAAAGTGGTACAAAACCCCAATGAAACTGGAAAACAGTGTATGAGATTATATATAATATAATGATTGTTTTTAAAAATTTTGAGTTTTTAAGACAAAACAATATGTTTATATTTTCTTGACCGCAAATCAAAAAACATTAAATGAAATTATTTTTTGGTAGCAGGTATATAAACATCTCGTATCCTTATTTTGACTTTAAAGACAGTGACAAGATTCCTTGTGGGTTATTGTTTATTTTCACATTTGGTTGATGCAAGTTTTCTACACAGAATGAGTTTGGGGAATAAATATTTTGCTGTTATCACTTTAAGTTTAAGCTTAACACAACCACAGAGCACTTTTTAGGTGTTTTGTTCACACCTGCATATGAAATTTGAGAAAAAAATCATAAATCTACGTCAATTTCAGCATTTTTAGTTAAACAAAAGTTTAGAATTGACATTTTGTAACATTTATTTAGTGTACTTGTAAAGAAAATTAAAAGAATGTTCAGACCATCATTTTCACACGGCTCTGAGAAGTCTTGTTTGTAAACAACACATTTCCAAATTTTGTTTTTTTATTCTTCTGCTGATTCCAAAGCATACGTTTTATTTATGCCAAAGAAACTATTATCCCCTGAGAATATAATTACCAAGTTTTGTTTCCCATGTGATATTCTCTTTCTTTCACTGCTTACATTACTTCAGTCTTTGGTTTCCTTTTTTTTTTTATGATGTCATAGCATGTGATCTGAACAACTACAAATGAAGCACAGATTTGAATATAGTTGCATGCCAAGTCAAAACAGTCATTGATTTAATACAGAAATCAACTTGTAATTATTGCAAATTAACCTTACAGGAAACAAGTACAAAATAATGATGTAAACAAAGCCTAGGTTTCTTTGATGATCTTACTTAGCAGGGCCATAGGGCCTTTTTTCATGGCATATATAGCTATATCTTATGTATTAAAACTTGCTTCTTTTAATTCAAAACATTACATTATATGTATGCAGTATTTGTAGTTGAAATGGCTCAAGATTCAATCTCACAGCTTTAAATTTTCAAAAATGTTCTGAGGGGGGGGGGGCATGCCCCCAGACTCCCATAAAAATGGAAATGGCCTGACCACTCAAAAATTGCTTTCTATGGCAATGCTTTGTGTTTGCACCTTTAAACACTAATAAGAGCTTGACCTATTTGTGGCACTGCATGTATTTTCTCAAAGTCTCTAGTATAAATTGTTTCCATTGTGTCCGGTGTCTAAGGACAAACGTTTTGGTATTTCAAAATACAAGAAATTATAAAACTAAATAAAATTATGTGAATTTTTTAAAGCCAAAACTAGGTATTATTTAGCAAACTTAAAATAAGACCCAAAACTCGAGCTCTTTCAAATAGTTGACTATTTTTTCTTCTTTGTTCTCCTGAAGAAGAATAGTCAACTATTCGAAAGCGCTCGAGTTTTGGGTCTTATTTTAAGTTTGCTAAATAATACCTAGTTTTGGCTTTAAAAAATTCACATAATTTTATTTAGTTTTATAATTTCTTGTATTTTGAAATA